CACAGTATAGAAATATAAGAATGTATGAAGAAATATAAATATATATATACACAATAACAGCAGCTGTACAAGTATTAACTGGAAATGAAGAATATAAATGAAGAATATCACCGTGGATTCGTCTTCGCTGTCACGTCTCAAATCACCCAATGTCGTCTTCATGGTCAACCTGGTCATCTCAGCCTGCTGCTCATCCTCACTTTGCACATGAGGGTCCCCTTTCACGCCACAGGCACTGTGTGTGTGTGGTCAAATGAATGACAGCAGCCTCATGGCCCTCTGCTCACTTCAATGGCTGCAAATAATGTGTCAGCATCATGTTTTGGGCATTGTCAGGAAAGATCTGTGTGAGCAGAGCAACTGGTGGAAAGTTAACGTTAGGTATTCATGTGTTCTGACAGTCTTGTTAGTCTGTAAAACAATAATTGTACAGATCTACATAATACTGCTTTGTAAATATAGACCATCTAGTATCCGCTTAGTACAAATAAGAGTCTCTTGTAGTGATATCAGGGGAATTTTCAACCACACATTGGGCACAAAGTGGTAAATGGGTGATTGCTGGCAGATAAAGAGCCCGCTTCTGGCAGTCGTCCAATACTGTGCTATGTGTTTCCCATGTGGCTGACTGATATCTTATTTGGAAAGTTAAATGGGCAACATTTAGTTACTGTAATAGCTTGTTTTTTTCTGTATTGACACATTATCATTTGCTAATTCACTGATAAACTATAGCTTTTACTCTACGCATAAAAATAAGACATGGTTAACTGGTAGAGCCCTATGAAGTATGTTTACTATATCATACCAACCATGTATTTATTTAATTTAAAGCAAAGCGGTAACACTTTGTTCACAGGCAGAACATTCCATTTATAGTAGTGTTTTTTCTGTGTTTTAACAGTTGTGGTTAGACAGGTTTTTAGTCCTGTCCTCTTTTTCTCTGGTTTTGCACTTAAAAAAGTTTTGCATGAATTCTGATAAAACTTTGTAGGTGTGTAGAGTGGGATCATATTAACGCTTCATTAAAATTTGGCTTACATCCACCAAGGTCTTCAAGGTCAACTTTAATGATTTAGTGGGTGAAGAAAGCCTTATAACTTAAACTACGGTTCTTACAAGTATGGTGTGTATGGTCAGCAAATAGAAAGCATTGCATAAAGATTTAAAATATCATGTCACATCTGATCCCTGACGTCTCCTTCAAGGTCCAGAGACTGATCTGAAGTGATAGCAATGCTACTGTAAACTGTAGTATAACATTATAGAATCAGCTCAAGTCATTCATGTCCTGTTATACACGTTATAGGAGAGGCTATAGGAGAGGCTAAAATGGCTTTTTTTATGTTAAAGGTTGCCGTCCCCTACATTAGACATAGCCATATTGCATTAACAATTTGTTTAAAAATCCTACAATGTCACATCCAAAAAGTTGGGACACTGTCCCAAATGTCAATAAGACATGTAAAATATTTACAGTGAGAAAGTTGGAATCTGATTGGAGCAATATATCTTAGGAGACAGAGGCAACAAAAGCTAGAAAACAGAAATAGTGAGAGCAATATTTTGCAGCTTATTGGGTTAATAGGCAACAGATCAGTAACATGAGTTGGTATTAAAGCAGCATCTTAGAGAGGCAATAGTTTCTGTGTAGTAAAGAGAGC